GTTATGCCTGTTTCTCAAGTTTATCCATGTTGTCTTGAGATAATGTGCATCTGTATCAGTCTACTAAAAATTCCTGTAATCAATGCAGCCCATGGCCTGGGAGCAAGTCCTGTCTGATCGTGACAGTGAGGATGAAGTTGATGACGATGTTGCAGATCTTGAAGATCGAAGGGTATGCTATTCTCATCTGAATTCTGCTGGTTCCCAATCATTGTATTTCATCTATAATGAGCATATGACCTGCCTCCATTAGAGGTTTCGTTTTGCATTGAAATTGTGAGCATGGTACATTACATAACATTGATATATGGCTACGGGCTATTACAAATTTTGTTTGTATAAAAAAAATTCAAATCAATCATCCTATGGACCAGTGTTATTAATGGCGGATGGCCAAAATCCGGCTATCGTGGCCGCCGTGGCTGCCATTTGTTAACACTGTTATGGACTGGAATATGCTGCTCTGTTTTTGGAGATAATTACTATTTCCATGTGCAATTAAAAGGAATGTTGTTGAACAGATGCTCGATGACTTTGTGGATGTTACAAAGGACGAGAAGCAGTTGATGCATCTCTGGAATTCTTTTGTCAGGAAGCAAAGGTGAGAGACTTTTTTTTTTGTTTTCTCTTTCTGCTTTTCCCTTTCCTGATTTCTCGAGTATCGTAGCTGTTTCATAAGACACTGATTGTGAGGTTTCAGTTAAGGTATTGTATTCATCTAGACGAGGTTTATAGCTCAATTAAAGTCCCAGTTATACCATCAATTGAAATAGGAATGTTGACATGGATAGGACCTTAGTTTATATATTTTTTTTGCCGTTTTTGTTTTTCTCTCTGTATTTCATTTAAGCGCTCGTCTGTCACAATCACAGAGTCCTTGCAGATGGTCATATTCCTTGGGCCTGTGAGGCGTTCTCCAAACTGCATGGACAGAATCTTGTCCGAACACCTGCTCTACAATGGTAACTTTTGCGATTTCTGATAACTGGCACTGCTATATATAGTGGCTCTCGATTTTGTTTTCTTAAAAGTATATCCTTTTAGTTTCTTCTCAAATTTTCAAATCCCTTTCTACCATAGTAAAAGTTTCCTGAGAATTTCTCATGCGTTGCTGCAAAAGCATCTCAGAAAATAAGTGTATGTATCCTGTTGATTATATTCTTTAAGTGTCCAATCATCCATCTGGACCAGTTGTTTTATTATTTGTGGCCCTTTTAAAACCATCTATCTTCAACAAATCACTTCTTCTGGATTCTTGTTCAATTATGCAGAATTACTTATGAAGGTTACATATGAATGCAGTGCATTATTATTATTATTATTATTGAGGATATTTTATTCATGTTCATCAGTAATTGCAAATAATATTCTATTTGCTCATATCATTATATGATGGACAGGTGTTGGAGATTATTTATGATTAAACTGTGGAACCATGGCCTTCTTGATGCTCGCGCGATGAACAATTGCAATATAATTCTGGAGCAAGTCCAAAGCCAGGATATTGACCCGGGAGAATGAGATACAGAGGGAACTTCATCATACCATTATTTAAGCGTGTCTTTTATTTTTAAGGTGGAAATTCACATGCAAATTCCCGACATTAACTATTTTTTTGGGCGAAAAAGCACAAGAAAAAAGAATCCCTCTGCTGATACATGACATGAACCCCATGAGTTTACTTGCTTAATTGAGAAGGGAGGCTGTTGTTGTACATGGGAACAACTTGTTTAAATTCTCCCAGTGTCTGCTTATTCCAATTTTAAATATACAAACTCATTTATTGTTTCCTTCTTCTTTCATATGTATACTTGTAAGATTGTTATAGTTTCTGGATGATTTTGGGTAGCTGATAGGTGATGGGATAAGTTGGGGAAGAGAGGAGTACCATACAAGTGTACAAAGGCACGTAAGGTAATTAATCATATGCGCACGAGGCAAGTACATGCCGCGTTTTGGGTAGTAGTACGCTCTTAAATTGGCAAAACTTAAATGGAAAGTAGTATATAATGTTTGGTGGAAATAGCACATAATTATATGTTCTACCTGTAGCTTATGAGTTGTTAAATCTTACCCGGCATCTCATTAAAATTAACCATCTTTTTCTCATTCTCTTCACCGATAGTGTAAATAGTTGTGGATTCTCATTCTTTGGGATGTCAAAGGGTAGTCGGTTTTGACAAACCTGAACCCAACCCGCATATGATTTACCCTACCTGAACTTGTAGGTTCTATGAGGAACGTTGTCCTCGTGCACATTCGAGTCTATTAAAAATTAATCATAACGTCACAAAATCTATAGTTAGGATTAAGATTTACATGTTTAAATTTTTGTCGATTCAGAGACGTTTCTAGTTTCTGTTGTTAGAGATCGTCTGAATTTCGTAGTCCGTTGGGTTGCCGGACTTGGCCTTGCCATCACCGGACCTTGACCGTGTTCCACGCCTCGCGTCTCCGGTCACTTGCCGCTCGCGTCGGATCGTCTCGACTGCAGGTGGCTAAGTTGAATTGCTCCAGGGTCACCGTGGACTCGATGGAGCGTATGGACCAAGCTGGACTGGTTTGGATCGCTTTTGGGTCGCTCTGGAGCGGATAGAACCAGGTCTGGTGCGTTGCTTGTGGATTAGGCTGGGTCTGGTGCATTGCATGCGGACTGGACCACGCTGGGTATGTCTACTGGGCCTGGGAGCACGCGGGTCATCCTTCACAAACGGACGCTAGGTGTTGGGACTACACGGGTCGCTAAGACTTAGGGCACGAGAGCACTGGGGTGCTTAGGGTCGCGTTGGAAACTCGTGGAGCATGCTGTCGGGTCGCGGCGCAGTTGCAGGGACTCGCTGTCGGGTCTCGCGAGCCATACGGGTTGCGTGAAGAGCACGCGGGCTGTGCGCTGGGATACAGGGCTATGCGGGTCTGTGCCCAGCGAAATGGGTCTATGTGGGTCTGCGTGAGGCCAGGGCACAGCTGAGCGCGTCCAAGGTGTACACCTCGCTTAGATTTACTAAAATCTTTTCGCTTTATAATTTGAAAACACTAATTTAATTTTCCAAAACTATTATTAAATTTTTTCGAAAATACTTTATCTCTATATCGCGGGATGCTAATAAGCTTACTAGCTTGATCTCTTTATCTCTTTTAAAACTAATACGCATGCAATCAAGTAATTCATTATAGATTAAGACGCCTTGAAAATACTGGGATTAAACATGCATAATATTAAAGTCTCATAATCTGAATACATGTCTGAAACTGCGAATATTGAAATAATTCAAAATCATAATCAAACATACTAGTCCAAACATGTTCAAATATACTACATGACATGTTTCCTAAAAAATATCCTTTCGCTTATAACCACCACCACGTGCTAGCTCAAGCGCCACGCTGGACGCCGTCACCTAAAAAAATTGGATAGTGGAGGCGTGAGCATAAAGACTACGTGCTCCGCAGAAACCAACATTGAATATACATCAATTATAATAATCCATCATGAAATAAGCATACATGCAAATAACTGTTCTTCATCTGATGCGAACTACTAGCATTCAAACTTGTTTGGGAAATCATGTGTACACTCTGGGTGGCATTGACCGCCCCTGAACCTGGATGGTGGCATTGGGCCTCCCAACTCAGGCGATAAGTAGTTGCAAGGACCTACTTGTAGGTCGTTGTCATTGGCCAATACTTTATCTCTACATACATACCTCATGTTGAGATATGTGAGGATCTCGTTATGTACAAGTCACGAATTCAATAGCAAACGTAAACCTATGCGCAACGGATCTAAATGTTTGACGTAGAAAATTTACGACTTAAAATTTTATGAATCTGTCGGATTCGGGATGACCGGGAACAGCACACGAACAAGTCGGGATCATGAACGAAACATCTCGGTCTCAAGATCGGGTTGTGTGGGTCGTCGGGCGCCGGTCGTGCCACACCAGTTCGGTCGCGTCGGGCTTCTGGTCGGCAGCGATCGGTTACGGCGGCTCGGGTCATGGATCGTCGACTTCTGTGGAAAATCACTAGGTCTTGATTACCTATGGATCTACTACTGCATTACTCAAACACCTCTTCAACTTGTACTAGTGGAGCAACAAGTAGAAGATAAAGCTCCTAGTGGCTGGGCCCCCAGAACCTGCTGAAGTGGCTGGGCTCTCAGTGGCTTCTTGCCCTTATCCGGGCGTTTAGTGGTCATTCCTCCTCTTGTTCGAGCCGGAGGATGGCTAAGCAGTAATAGCTGGTTGGGTGATGATAGCCAACTGAGGAGACTGGGCATGATAGTAGGAAGGGATGGGGGCAACCGGGGTCATGTAGCTCTCATCCTGCTGAGTTCGAATAACAGTGTCGGTGAAGGACAACTCTCTATGACTAGCCACTAAGAGACGAATGTCCTGCCAAAGGCCGTCTAGGAACTTGCGAGACTTTCTCTCCTCAGTATCAATCATGTGCCGGACAAAGGCACTCAGATGGGTAAAAGTGCGAGCATACACCTCCACAGAAGTGGCGCCCTACTGAAGATCCCAGAACTCCCGCTCCATGCGGCCGCGATAGCTCTTGGGGAAGTACTTGTCGGAGACGATCTCCTTCATCCTCACCCATGTAACGTCCCGTTTTATTTTAAAGAATTTACCAAATTTATTTATGAAAATCAGAGTAAAATTTTTCGCAAAATCTCAAGTTAAAACTTATTTCTCAACGGGCGCTACTTAACTACCAAAAACAACTAAACAAATACGAACAAATAGATTGAACCTATTCATGCATAAACTAACAATCATCAAAATTAAACCAATTTATTCATTAGGTTTCAAATCCAACCAGAAAGTTAAAACATTATTCCAAAGGTTCAACCTGACATAATCAATGTATCCAAACCGAAGCAAGAAAAATCAAAGACAAGAGCAACAATTTAACATAATGGGTGGACTTCTCTTCACTCCATTAGCATGGGGACTTGGGGCTACATTGGGGATGACTTGGGTGGACTTTGAGGAGGTTTTCAGAGCATCTTGGCTGGAGACAATGGTCTGGTCGGGTAGGTGCATGAGTGTGGGGACAAAGATTCCACTACTGAATAAAATATTCACATGCACATGCATCCACTTTGGCTAAGGACTAATTAACTTTCTTTAATACTTGCTTAGGGCCATCTTAGCTCTAATTGACCCTCATTAAGTCTTTAATAAATGCAGCATATAGGTCTCAACAAAGTGGGCCAGAACTTGCGCATTTGGGCTCAAGAAGGTGGGCTGCCGCTGCTGGCGCTAGCGCGGGCTACTCGCGTGGAATGACTTGGGCTGAGGCTAATGCTCCCTCTTATGATAAAAAAACACTTAGAAAAATTATACTAATGATTGGCTAAGACTTGGGCATGGTCTTGGACACGGCCTTGGACCTCGGCACGGCTTGGGGCGCGGCATGAGGTGCGGGCGCGAGGCTTGGCACGAGCGGGCTTGGGTGAGTGCTAGGCTCGAGAATGAGGGTCTAGGGTTTGAACTTGGAACTTTTAAACACTTAGAAAAATATTCTAAGTATTAGCTCAAATGTTCGGCCATGACTTGGAAAGATACTCGGAACGAGATTAGGGTTCGAGGCTAAATGATTTTCCGAGTCGAGTAGATATCACTTATCAACCCAAATTAATGAATTGATCTTGATCTTATCATGATATAGAAAATTCAAAGGAATAATCTATCATACTTAGGAAATAATTGAGCACTTAGCATATAAATCAAATAACTTAGAATTTATGAAAAATACAGATTTCACTTATAGTCAAGCAGTGAAACCGTTCTTATACTATTTCTGATCGGGGCGTTACAGAAAATCTCCCCAAGTCCGATAAAAAATCCAGCGCACTCGACAACTGATCATCACCCGCGAGCACGCCTAGCGGACAAGTTCCCCTGTAACGCCCCGTTTTATTTTAAAGAAATTACCGAATTTTATTTGATTAAAATCAGAGTTAATTTTTTTTTTTTTAATTCCAAATTAAAAACATTTATCGAGAAACGGGCGCTAGTAATTAACCACAGCAAATGAACACGTCCAATCAATCAAACCAAAGAACCTACACATGCTTGAGCTATCAAAATAAACAATCGCATAAAACATAAATCTCAAAATCATTCACAAACGTCTAGCATGAATTCAGATTCAAACGAAAACTCAAACATAGTTCGAAGGCAAATAAATAAATAATCCAAAGTATGAAAGCAAATGATTAAGTAACAAGTTTATGCGCAACAAACAATCAGTATACGAAATCAAGCAGGGATATAAACACATAATAAAATATCCAAATCCAAGCGAGAAAATAATTCAAGTCAAGTTCCAGTTCAACAAATCATAAACAGGCGGAAGCACAATATATCATCAAACAGTGACCACCATCTCGCTCGTCCTATGCCACCGCCTCCAGCTCGTCTCCACCTAAAACAAAGGAAGAGAGAAACAACAAAGAAAATAATGGGGGTGAGCAACCAACAAGCTCACCATTATCGCACAATTATCCCGTATAATTATTTTAAAAAGCAGTATCACAGTAAACAATATCAGTATCCGTATGCATAGAATTCATAGCCTAAACTTCTTACCCGGCCCTATCGCAAACCTCATATGTACATACAACAACCTTCCGACCAAACATCGGCAAGGCCGTAACTGGAAAATTTCCCCCACCCCGAACTGCTCACGGATCATGGGAGTCCACCCCGAACTACTCACGGATCATGTATGTTTTCCAGGAGACAGTGGAGATGTTTTTCCCCCCCGAAACTCACACGGATCAGGGCGTCTCCTCCCGGATACAACGGGCAGGTGACCTCTCACTGTTATGCATTCATCAAAGGCACTATCGTTCGGGACACTTAGACGAGAGTTCTCATGCATACAATAATTTTCAAAAGAAAACATTACACGAAATAATGAGTGCGATAAATATGGAATACATCATAAATGTACCCACCTGATAGCAGCAACAGTTCAAATCACAAATCTCGAGATGAGGCGAGGTCAACACCTCTAGGCACCTACATTAAGTCCAGATACTAAA